ATATATACACACGGTTGGTCGGTCTACGCGTCGGTCGGCCGCTCACGCTCACGGACCGTCGGCGGCGGCGGCGGCGGCGGCATTTGAAAATTTCAGTCTTCTCGGTCACTCTGTCGGCACTCGTTTCATGTTTCCCCCCGAGGCACACGCAGCACCCTGTCGATCGGCGGTGCGCTCACCACTCCCCGTCGTCGCAGTCGTCGTCGTCGTCGTCGTCGTCGTCGTCGTCGTCGTCGCCGCCGCCGCCGCCGTCGTACACTCACGCACACACGCACACGCACAACCACCACGCACCCCGCCCGCCGTCGTCACCACCACTACCGCACGACACAGCACCGCGTACTAGTAGTAGTGGTGAACACCGTCCACACGCACACACGCACGCGATATTTCGCCCCGTTCGTACCTCCACATCGCCGGCTGCCCCGTGTCGTCGCGTACACATCACATCGCGCGCTCCGGCCCGCAAGGACGACAAACGCACACCGCACGTCATACGATCGGCACCGATCGCGAACGTCGTGTTTACATTTTTTTTTCCGTTGGGTTTTTTTTTTTTTTTTTTTCAAATCACGTTTCGCCTCTCGTCCGCGTCCTTAAAAAATTAAGTTCGGAATATCATTTTTTCTTACTCTCCTCCCCCGTCCCACCACCAATCGTTCGCCCGGCGTTCGTGCCGTCTGTGCGTTTCGTTACCGAGGGGAAAATTCAAAAACAACCGACGGCGGCGGCGGGCGCGCGATAATTCCGACTTTTCGGAGTACACACATGTACGATGTTTTCGGCCGCGAAACGTGTTCTCCGTCACCCGCCCGGCGACACGCCGCCGGCGCCATGCCGATGATGACCGTTGGCGCGCGCGGCATCACCGCCACCGCTACGACGAGCGTTGTTACTGCTCCACTACCGTGCCTACTCTAGCAACGACAACACGCTACGCTCAGCTGATTCTCATGTGCTCGCACGCCACTATCGTAAGTATTATTTATTCGTACGTTTTTTTTTCTTTACGCGCCCGTGCCACTATTTCAGTTGTGACGTTTTTCGACATCGGTGTTATTAATTGTCTCCGACTGTTTGATGATATTTTACGTACGCTAGTTGTACTTACGAATAGGTGCACTACGTATTAATTTTTTATTTTTTTCCCAAATTTTACTACCGGTTGTTCCGTCTCGGTTTAATTTTTTTCTTTTCTTTCATTACGTTTCGATCTCGTCTGGACGACATTTTAGAGATGAGTCGTAATATTGTTATATTAACCTTGGTGCGATCGGTTTGGAGTATATATAAATTAACAATAACTCGTATATTTTTATCGGTAAACGTACGACGGAAATACACCTGACGCGCGCTGAATTCCCTTGCACGACGACGATAAGAGGCATTTATTATTGTAGTGATCGCGATAACGACGACAAGTCGCTGTATATTAATCGAGATTTACCGGACAACCGTCGACGTCATTATTATTATTTTCTATTGTACACCTATTTATCACCGTCTTCTTTCGGCCGCGTGCACAAAAACAATTCCTGTGATTAACATCGTTTTGAGTTCGAACAGATTCCATTTCGTTAGACGACGAACATTTAGGTCGAAAACATCGTAACCGAATTTCCACTCGTCCACGTTCGACGAAACCTCGTCTGTATGTAAACCGCGTTATCGCCGACGAGCGATTTCAAATTTTCGTCGCCACACGTTTTCGACGGGACCATGCCGTATTTGCCACCCGGTACGTATTTTTTTCCTCCTCCTCCACCCACCCTCCCGGTATGAAATGATAATATTTATAACTACATTATAATATTTTGCCGTACAAAAAACGCGATGTGCAAAACGACTTTTTTATTTTTTCGCTTTACACTACAATCGGTCGTAAAAATGTATGAATCATAGAATGTTGTTATGCGCTCGCGAGTGAGAGGGAAAATAAATGTTTCTCGTTCCGACGCCGATTATTGTGAGTCATATAACTTGACGGCGTATAGCGTCGTCACGTTTACGATTTTTAATAAAAATATATAATTATACCAGTGTTTCGGTACGCGCGCGCGTACACACACGCACGCATACACACGCATACACACACACACACACACACACACACACACACAACGGCAGAAATGCCATAAAAACGTAATTAAAAATCGTTATTTTCGTATGCACGATCGAGCGAGAGGAAAAATTGAATACAGCGCACAACCAACCACCTGACGAGGGTTGATGTGAAGGGAAAAAACATTTATTAAAATCGGGAAAAAATTGCGAATATTCCCCGAAAACGTTTTTGTCTCGTGTCGTACGCGCGTCCGGTCCGGCCAACGTGTGGCGTACGGTTTGAGCCGCGACGGAGCACTGGTGTGAGAGAGAAGGAGAGCGTTCATCGCGCGGTCGCGGCGTCGTCGTCGAAGCGTCTCGAGAATTTTTATCGTCCGACCCCATGCGCGACCTTGACATGACACGCTACCGTCGATTTTTACGTACGTTTTTAATACGTGTGTCCCGACGAGCGATAACGGAAAAACCACCCCGTCTCGTTTCCAAACGATTAACGCGCGTCGTCGCCTTGGTCCCGGCGGTTTCGCGCTCCGACGCCAAAACCCATTCGTCGCGATTTTATTATTGTTGTTGTTGTTGTAGTTGCCGTCACACACTTGTCACCACGCGCGCGTGCGCACAGGTGATGTGTAATGCACGGCGGGCGGGATGGGACAGACCCATTAATCGGACCGGATCGGTGGGTGCTCGTGTACGTAAATCACGCGGGTCGCGTGCACTTGTCGCGGCGGGTGGCGGACCGTGGGGGGTGTCCGTAAGGGGTGGTGGTCGAACACGCCGCCCTTTGCACTAGCCGAAAACGCGCGCAAACGTTACGATACTTTTCGATACGACACTGCTTGCGCGCGCAAACAACATTAGTCGTCGCACCATGTTTTACCGTCGTACGCGACTCGCGACCACAGTTTGTTTAACTATGAATAACATAATTATTATAATGTACGTAATGCACTATTAATAACTCGCTTGTTATCGTGGTTTTTTTTCCACTTTGTCGTTTCCAGCACACGTAATCATGGAAATGCAGATCAGTAACGCGTCCGAGTTCCCGCTGTACCACTCGATGGCCGCGGGACCCCACTCGTTCCAACTGCCGGGCGCCATACCGCCCGTCAGCACCATTCCGTCGTATAAGAACACCATGTTCCCGGACCGATTGGGCTTCTACTACGACTCCGCGGGCGTCACGCACACAATGCCCACGGAACGGTGCGACCGATGTTACGTTGAACTGCCGGCAATCGGTGCCGGCCACCAATTCGGCAAGAAGCTGTGCGGCATGTGCGCGGCCAAGGAACAGCAAGTGTCGCCCAAGGTGGAGACCGAGATACTGGACCTGGACTCGCAACAAGTCATGTCGCAACAGCAACAGCAGCAGCAGCAACAACAGCAGCAGGACTCCAAGGCGTTCTTGCAGCAGCAGCAGCAGCAAGACTCCAAGGCGTTCTTACAGCAGCAGCAGGACTCCAAGGCGTTCTTGCAGCAGCAACAGGACTCCAAGGCGTTTCTGCAGCACGGCGGCGGTGTCGTCGTGCCGCCCGGCTACGACCGGCCGCCCCCACCGCCACCACCGCCAACGGTCGAGTGGCCCGGCTACTTTCAGCCGCAGCAGAACACGCTGTCCGGCGAGCACCTGTCGCCTGACTACAACAATGTGACGACCACCACGACCACACCACCAACCATGATGGGTGGGTCGCCGCCGTCCGACATGCAACAGCAACAGCAGTACCAGGCCAACTTTGACGGCGGCGGTGGTGGTGGTGGAGGCGGCGGTGGTTACGCGGTCAATTCGAACCAACAGTCCGGCGGCGGTGGCGGATCGGCGACTAAGGGCAATGGGTCGTGGAAGTCCAACGAGGCGCGGCGCGCAAAGACGTACGAGTGTCCGGCTTGCGACAAATGGTTCACCAGTTCGGGTCATCTGAAACGGCACTATGGCACGCAGCTGCACAAGAACGCGGTGAAGCAAAGTGGCAAGCCTGACCCCGCGCTGTTGCCGATGAAGCATCACTATCACCCGTACCGGGACCCCGCGTACGTCGCCCAACAGAAGCTCAAGCAGCAGCAGCAGAACGGCTCGTCTTTGCACAAACAACAGTCGTCCATGATGATGTCAGCAGACTTCCGCCCCGTCACGTCCACGTCATCGTTCAACACCGATTCTTTTTTAGAGCTGACTCCCCCAAACCTGACAGCAAGCCTCTCGGACAGTTTGGGGGGAACCCAATTCCTACCGGCCCGTCGGCCGGTCAGCAACAGCAGCAGCAGCAACAGCAACAGCAGTACGGCAGGTTTCACGGACGAGATCCAAATTTCTTCGTACCCCAGCAACAGCAGCAGCCGCAACAACAACAGCTACCCGGTGGACCCAATGGTGGACCCTACGGCCCGCCCCCACCTGGCCACATCGTACCACGACCACCACCGATCGTCGATGGCGGATCAACAAGCGCGTTCGGCATACCGGCACCCCCAGATCACGGGTACCATCCAGCCCTACACCACCCAGGTTTCTATGATCCATCAAATTACCAACACGGATTCGTACATCACTATGCCCGATAATAACGGTGTCGGCGGCTATCACTACGATCATCATCTCCATCAGTATCATCCTCACAACATTATCAGTGATCACCATCAGCAACAGCAGCAGCAGCACAACGTTGACTATCAGCCGTCGTCAACGTCGTCCACGTCGTCGTATCTGCAGCAGCAGCAGCAGCAACAGCAACAACAACAACAACAGCAGCAGCAGCAGCAGCAGCAACAACAACTTCACCACCATCAACAACAACATCGTCAACAGCAACACCAGCCGTTCCAGAGATTGTCCACGCTCATTAAACAGGAACCAAACGATTTGGCCGAATTCAGCGCGGACGATACTTCGATGGCCAGCCCGGACTCAAGCATCGATCACCACAACAATCAGCATTACAGAGGCTTGTTGGTGGTGGCGCCTTTATCTTCTCCGCCGCCTCTGCAGCCTCCACAGCCGCAACCCCATCAGCATCATCACAATCAGCATCAGCACCATCAACATCATCAACACCAGCTGCAGACCGCAGTCGACGACGACGCGGTGGTCAGCGACAGCGGCGGTTCCGTCGACCTGGACTTCGGGTGCGGTGGCTCGGCGGAACTGTCGTCGTCGTCATCACCCTCGCAGCACGCGGCCAAGAAGTTCCGGAAGGCCACGCGTGTCACGTGCGTGCTGTGCAACAAGGACTTCACGGACAAGTGTTACAAGACGCAGCACGACCAGCGGTTTCACAGTGGCGAGAAACCGTACCGGTGCGGCGTGTGCGGCAAGCGGTTCGGCGAACACAAGCAGTTGCAGGTGCACGAGCTTCGGCACAATGACAGCAACAAAGCGTTCCCGTGCACCATGTGCACGAAGAGTTTCAACTTCAAAAACGACCTGGACCGGCATTTCATGTCCAGCCACTCGGCCGAGAAACCGTACCAGTGCGTGCAATGTAAGAAGAAGTTCGTGCGGCTGGACCACAAGCGGCACCACGAGAAGACGCACGGCGGTGCCGTGGAGAAGACGAAAAAGAAAAAGAAAGCCGTGGCCGAGCTAGCGCAGTCCACCGGCGGCCACTTCGAAGACCAGTCCTAAAACGCGTAAATATATACATGATCCCGGTGTTTCCGTAATACTCTCTCTTGTTTACAGATCTAAACGTTTTTAACCGATTTTTTTTTTTTTTAAATTAAATTTATGTATTATGTTTCCACCCCTTCCAATCATTCTCCCCCCCCCTGTAAATGTTAGACAAGGCATCTAATTTAATATTTAACGCGCGATTAGTCGTCTCGGAGTGGTGGTTCCGCTCCACAGACCAAAATGCATATATTGACAGTTTCAGGATAAATTATATTATTTTTATTTTCGACTGATTTTTTTTTTCGCGGCATCACGCGCGACCGGCGAAAATTTAAAATTATCTTCGTAATTTCGTACGTTCGGGATTTAGATTTGACTTACATTTTGTTCGGAACATGTTGACAAATACAATTCACGCCAGTATCTGACGCGCCTGGTTCAATTACCACGCACGAGAGCGTTGAAACATTTTCAATGTCTGCCGGCATTAAAACTTTATGTTGTACATTACATTAATAATAATCCTAATTTCAGGGGCATTAAAATATTGTTAAGCGTTTTTGTTTTTATATTTTGCGACTCGCACTCCTCCGTTCCCTGTTAAAAAAAACCCCCATTCCTATTGTTGCGTCGTTTGTTGATGGCTCAATCTATCTATATTATATAATTATATACATTATATTCTTTAAGAGAATTATTATTTAATACATTTTTCGTCCCTGTTTTGTTGATATATTTTTTTTTTAATTTGGGTACCAATATTGCATTAGTTAAAACAACATATCCCTATGTTACATATCACACGACGACGCTCTAGAATTATTCTATTACTTATGACATTCATTTGTTTCGTACCTGCTATTACTATATAATAATAGTGTAATATTATATCGAATATATTTATTGATATTACTATTATTATTATTTTTAATACCAACCTTTAAATAACAATATTATTTTGTGTTAAAGTAGATATTTTTGTTAGCAATAAGAATAACGCGTTAATTATTATTATTATTTTTTTTTATCGCCCTTTGTCCTCGGTGCGAATTTTTAAGTTTTTCCACATTTACACAGTTATGTTACTTTTCCTGACTTTTTGTATTTGTCCATAATATTATGTGTTATTGCGCCAAGTGTTTATTATTATTATTTTTATTATTTTGATTTATAATTAAACAAATATCGATAGTACAAAAAAGTACCTCGTAGATATTGTGGAAAACTACTACTACTACTACTACTACTTGGTATCAACAAATAAATTTATATAATTATAAGTATCATAATAACATTTATAATTATATATATTAATAATTAGCAAAATTATTATATAATGTTTTAACGAGCAATAAGTTTGTAAATAATAACAAAAAATAATAAAGATTGACTAGAAATAACACGTCTATACATTATTACACATGTGTATTTGTAAACACATAATATATTATTTTATAGTTAAATAGGTTGATCTTACACGCGGAAAAAGTGTGAGAGTCACCCCTCTACTCGTTGTCCGTTCAACACTTCCCGGTCATGTCTTTCGCTATTATGGGGTCGTGGATTTCGAACCCGAGAAAGACCCTTTTAATACGTCGTATAGTCCCAGCACAAGGGATGGGAAGTGATTCTTTTAACCCTTCGTGGTTGTTCCTTCTTTAACCGTATTTTATTGGGTATTACGGTACACTTATTTCAAACCGACCGAAATTTCTGCCGATTGTCAGTTGACGAGTTTGGATAAACGGAAAACTACTGGTTGTAGTCAAACAGCGTATGGTACTATAAACAGTTAATATCATGTACGTATGTGTATATAAAAGTATAATATAATATTAAATATAAGTATAAATAATATAATCATACGTCATCAACAATGTGCAGACACGGTAACATACGAGTACTCCTAATTTTATTTATCATATTATTTTTTCTAGGATTCTTATATTACACATATTGACTAACTGCATTATTGTTTATTCGGAACATTTCAAGTACAAAGTGTAAGAGTTTGTGATTGGTTAAAGTACTTGTAAGCTAAATAATTCACGCTATAAGTCGAGTTTTGTAAGGTAAATGAAAAATTGAATTGAATTCAGCCAAAGCCATTATGAAACTATTTTCAAATAACATTAACTAAAAAAAAAAAAAAATTAACGGCTGAAAATATAATCGCCCTTCTATAATAGGGATCCCTAGTCCCCTCTTCCTATTTATTACTGATTTTCATGCGAGAAAGTCTAGAATACGCTGGTATTGTGATGGTGGTGGATTGAAATTCGACGAAACAAAACCTATTACATCACAGACGACGACGACTACCTAATAGTATACCCAGTATATTTTCGTTATTCGATTTGATTACGCGTAGCCGGTCCGAGGTCAATCGACTCAACGGCTATAATGGTACTCTAAGCAGCGGCGTATATAGGGGGGCCTAGTGGGCTACAGCCCCCGCCTAAATATTTTAAAAAACTTAAAAATTATTTTAAACCTATGTCATATTTTAATGGTGATTTATGCTTATTTAGAATTTGCGTTCAACGTCAAATCGTTTTGGAACATTCTGTAAATGAAATGTGGATAAGTACCTACTTTGTTAGTAATTCTTAGACAGCAGTGGTAATTTAACTCTGTCCATAGTAGCCCCTCCCGAAAATATTTTCTGTATACGCCACTGGCTTAAAGGGTGCGTTGGAAAGAATAAATCCGCTAAGTCGCAAAAATATAAACATCTATGCCGTGTCACCATAAATCCTTGTACGTCAATATGTACAAAACACTTGGAGTAATAATTAATGAGACGGATCAGTTAGTATCACGTGCGCAAAAGTGATGTGAACGCCAAGAAAAGTTAATAAATATAAATGCGTATACGCATTACTCGCTAAACAACCTATTTTCAGCATAAAAGCTACAGCCTATAGGAATGGAGGTCCTTCAACGTCCGAAACATCCCCCTGGCTATATACGCTACAACACGAGTCTATATTATATTCACCGAATCCAACGTGAACTATATACCTATATAATTTATAATACCAACGCACAGCCTCCTCACCCCCGTGATATTACACTACATATTATATTATACATAATAACTCGTATATTCATCACGTTTTGTGCGCGGCGAACGTCGTCGAAAATTTACATTTTTCAAGAACATTCTCTCCTCGCGGTCACTTCTGCTGCCACGGCGGTGGTGGGCTCGCCAAGCAAATGACGTCTAAATATTTACAAGTGTTTGTGTTGACCACCATCGTAAAAAGGTCATATATATACATGGTATAAGGGTTATACACATAATAATAATAAACGTGTGTGTGTGTGTGTGTGCCACTGCCTAAACACAATACAAGTCTTACGCATACACATACATATTACATGTGTATGTATGCGTAATAAAGTGTGTGTGTTTGTATGAGTGTGAATGTGTATATAAAATAACGGTGGCGGGGAGAAGGAAGACGTCGTAAATAATATATTAAGTCTGGAATATCAAAACGAGACGCATATTAGTCGGCGGACACGTATAGGTTAGGTATTTATATAAAGGTGGTATTTGGTTCAGGAGGAAAAATCCAAAATCGAGGCGAGAATTAAAAAAAAAAAATCAAAGTCATCGCATCAGCGGCATCATCTTCCGTAACGATGTCAACATCAAGCACCATCATCATCGATGCTTGCAACGTTTTTATTCGGTCGCCTTCTTTCGCAGCTGCCATATACACGGTCTCCATCGGTAAAATTTATAATATAAAACGAAAACGAATAAACCGAATACAATTATTTATTGTCTATGATATATATATTCAATTTATTTCTGAGTAAATTTTGTTTTTTCATTATCATTATTAAAATACATAAAATAGACTAGTACGGAATAAATATAAATTAATAAAAAAAACGATTAATATTCAAGTACTTAGTATAGAAATACACGTGATATACACGTAAGCAAAACGAAATCTTAGGCTTATAAACATCATATATTATGACAAATTATTACGAATCGATGTTAGTTCTCGTGAAAAAAATATTTACACTTCGTTTTAAATTTTAACGTTGACCAATAAAAATATGCATCTTTTTAAAAAAAAAAATGTCCTAGTGTCATCGTACATCTGATGAAATTTAGAATTATTCTAAAATAGTCATGATACATTTAACTCGTTTGGAGCATAGATTACTGATGAATATTACATTTTTTGTTCTACGGATAGGTATTATAAGTATATACTTCTATATGTGTGTGTATACATAAAGTTTAACAAACAATAAAAAAGAAATCCTCCGGTGTCAGTCGCAACGGACGCATGAAATAGTATAATAAAACGCGATGATTTTATTCGAGTCACTTAACGCGCTACGGCGCTAACGGCCGCAAAAGCGGCGAGATTTACGTAAAAATAAAAATAAAGTGGACATTTTTTTAACCCGACTTACACTTGTAGTGCACGTATCTTCGTTAAAGAGTTATTTAAACAATGTACATATTTATGCAGTTATTAGGTTCGCCACGTGTACCTATTTACGTGACACGTATTCTATAAATCATCACTGCAGTGATTTACGAACTGTAAATGAACATACGTTAGGTATACGAAATAAAGGCTAAGCTAATTATATAATGGCGTGCGATGGTTTTCGGAACGGGGTGCGAAATAACACGGTACGTCAAACGGATTAGGTTTAGACGGAGGGAAAAAAGAACAAAAAGCGATATTATCGAATTGACGATTGACGAGTAACATAAAAAAAAAAAAAAAACAAAAAAATAAAAAACGGTTAACGTTAATTTGATTGTTGTATATTTTTTTCGATTTTTTTTCTTCACATCGTTTAAGAAAATCGAACAATTTTGTTTTTAGCGGTTTTCGATTTTAAATACGTTTATGACTGGTTACCCATAAACGGGTACGTATGAAATACGAAATAATAATCATATACAACGTACGTCGCATATACACATATATTTATGTTTATAGGATATGTGCACTGCTCTAAAGTTATCACGGGATACTACGACAACGGGGGAGGGAGAGGATTTCTGCTGTTTCTCGACGGACGGTGTCGGGTGAGGGGGATGGTGGTTTTGAAAGTTGTTCGATTCAAGTAATTTCCGCCGATTAAACTCGGACCGCCAGACGTGTGTGTATGTGTGTGTGTGTGTGTGTGTGTGTGTGTGCGTGTAATACCTGGTCGGCTTAAAGTATCAGCAGCCGGTCATTGTAGCGCAAGGTCTTATATACGTGCATATATACAGATAATGGATCTAAATGAACGGAATAATAATAGATAAATACTGGTAATATGCGTCGCGTGCTGCGTACTCGGACGATTCGTCTTTTAGGGTAAACGCCACTCCATTAGTCCTTATTATTGCTGTGGCGTAATGTTTGGAATTTTATTATTTTTATCAACGAACAGCGGATTGTTGATTCTCATATGTTTTTATTCGCTTTTATGAGAAGTGTTAGAAATAAAATATTCGTACGAAATTGGCTATTATAAAATCGATATAAAATGAGAGGCATTTTCCGATAAATGTATTAAGTAAAGAGATATTTAACGTACAAAAAACATTTGTTTCTGCGTTTTAAAACAGTTGTAATTAGTTTAAAACATTATATTTTTTTTAAAAAAGCTTCGTGGAATCTTCGGAAATGTTATTGTCTATAAATATTATAAGAGGTAGTTTTATCATAAAATCATTTTTTAACGAGTTAGAGTTGTTTTGCGTGAATATGTTTTAACTACCAAAAATTGGTGATGTAGCGTCCTCTTAACGGTCAAAATATTGTACTTCATACGTACGGAATTAATATTAATCTAAACATATTTATGCGCACAATCAACAGTATTGTAATAAACTTGTTAGTACAATATTTGTTC